GTTCTTAATTGGTATTGCTCTGCGTCTGCTTTCATCCTCTGCCTGCCTCCCCCCCCTCCTCCTTCCTCCTTCCTCCTCCTCCCACCTCCCTCTTCTCTGCATCCCTGGCGGAAGAAGACAGGCATCAGACAGACTGCTTCCCTGTGTGTGTGTGTGTTTATGTGGGGTTTGTGTGAGTTTCTAGCCTCTTCATTCCCGTACAGTGTGTTCTTGTTGTCATGTCCCCATCTCTGTAGCTTAGCCCTATATCCCAGGATATGGGACTGTTTTGTTCGGCATAGGAAGAGAGGATCCTGCCTTGCTATGCAGTTTCTTCGCAATTTTTCCACCGGCCCCAAGTCTGCCGAGACTTGAAATATGTTTCTTATCAATTCGTAAATTGTTAAGGAGGGACGTTAAGTCACTGCAGGATCAATAGTTGGCTAAGATAGGAGAAAGATGGGGAAAAAAAATCAACGACATATGAGAAACAAATGGTATTTTCCTGTTGAGTGGATCCGTAAACGTGAGGGGATGGTTGTAATTGGGCCCGGTTTGTTTCTGTGCCTGTTCCAGCATAAAATCTGCACATGTGTTGTATTACTGACAGTTGGATGGATGATATCATGTCTTTCTTTATAGCTATTTATTTATTAAAACGCTAGCTGGGGTTTAGCTTAGCTGAGCACCAGGACTGGAACTGGGAGAAGCAGCTACACCACGCTGGCTGACGTCAACAACACATGATTTACATTTAACGTCTATGGATTCAATTCATGCAGAAATGAAAGTTGGATTTGAACAGTGCTTAGGCTGCACATGGGTTACATGACTGAAAGCATGTGAAAACAGTCCATTATATATGATACAGTATATAATGGACTGTGGGACATAATGGATGAGCAGCTTGTTATTTAAGAAGATCGAATATGCAAATACAAGTTTCTGCACTTGCGGAGATGTATTGAATTATTTACTTTTAATTGAGGCCAGCAATTGGCCTCTGGTTCTAGTATTTGTCTCAAGTAAGGTTAAAAAGAACATGGAGGTTTCTTTCATTGATATTTATCATCTTGTATATTGCATTTAACAGTTCATTTTCACATGTTATTTTTTCAAAAATGAGGAAATACCTTCTATGTTGGGTACGGTGGTTTAAGGGAAGACTCAAAGACACGGCGGCCTCGTAGTTCACTAACCTCAAAATGGGACATATTTTTGAGTAATTGCAGCGTCATACTGGCAGTGAGAGTAAACCTGATGCTAGGAGGCAGCACAGAGACAACCCACAGCAGAGGAACTAGTGGTGTCAGCAGTGCTGAGGGGGAGGCAGGTAAGGTTATATGTGGTGGGGCAACAGAGGTCAGGAGGGACGCTAACTTTGGCAATGACTACATCAGCTCAAAAGACAACTGTCTGCTCTCTCATTTCATATAGGGGATTTTTTACCAGGATGGACGGTTGGCGGGTTTTAATTGTAAGCCTTTCACAGAGTTTTGACAGAGAGGAAATTAGGATGCTATTGCTGTTTCCTTGTTCAGTTGTGTTGTTGTTGTTGTATTAATACCTTCCTGACCCAATTTCAACCCTCATTGTGACAGCAGCACTAGTAACTAGATACGGTAGCTACGCTGCCGTTTCTTGGGGAAAGGATGACACTACCAGGATGAAATAGTCAGCTGGAGTAGAGAGGATCTGTTACTAGCAACTGATAGGGACAGAAGAATCCAGCACAGATGGAAAAGTCAGTTTCTGCCCCTCTAAATCCCGTGGCCCCCTCTCTGCTCCCGTGCCGTCACTGCGTCCCATCGCCTAGGCTTTTTATACACTGTTTTCTAGCTATTGCTGTCATAGTTTTTTTTTTTTTTTCGGAGGTGTAAATTTGTGGCCATTTGGCGTCGTGTGTTATCATCATGTTAGGTGGTTGGGGAGAGACTTAATGGGCTCAAACATGGACGAGAATGAATGAGAATTAAGCCGCTGCGCATATACTGCCGACGCTACACATACTGCATGCAATTATTTGTATGCACACACACACACACACACACACGCACCCCCGCATCCACACATAATTTGAACTCCTATTTATTACCTGAGGGCAGCCTTCCCTTAGCTGCTGAGATAGCACAATGACACACAGACTCAGTGTGAAAAATAGGACTGTGTGAGTGTATGTGTGAATGCAAGCGAGAAAGAGCGCGATGAAGGAGGAACAGGGAATGAGGATGCGAAAATCCAGATGGAGGAGAAGATAAGTGTAGGGACGTCTCCTTCCATTTTTTTTCTCTGATGCCAGGGCCTCGACTCTGGCAGTGTTTTTTCCGTGGTTTGGCTTCATTGACAACAGTGTTCATTGTCTTCTTTTTCTACCCATCTGTATGTATGTCTGATTTCTCACCCTTCCTGCTATGGAGACGTTACTGCACCATCAGATTGTCTCTTTGAGGGCTCTCCTGTCTTCTTGATTGACAGCTCCCTCCCCCCTGCCAGTGGGCAGCACAGTGGGAGGCAGGCCTTCCATTAATCTTCTGTTATGATCATTATGATTCATTCATATTTTCATATTTTGATTCATATCCAGGCCCTGTGTAGGCACATCTCTTTTTCTTTTTTTTCCCACATTTATTTTGTGTTTAATTTTCTTGTCAGGGACGATGATCAGTTTGATTATATTCATTATCAATCTGTCAGTTGTGTCAATAAATCAAATAAAAGTTTGGTCTTTAAATGATCAAGGCCTTGTCATTCTGAGGTCTTGAAAGGCAAGGCTTTGATTTCACTCAGTTGTATTGTCTGACTCACACTCCAAAATCCTAAAATATTAAATTGGCAGTAATAGAAAATGGGAAAAAAGCAGCATATTCTCACTTTTGATCGGCTCCAACCAGCATAAGTTTGAACATTTTACTTAATATATGACTTTTAATAACATATTGTCAGACTGCATTAGGATAGTGATTACTCTGAACATTAGTTGAGACGATTGAATAACAACTGTTTAAAGGACATTGTCGGGAATATCACATACACATCAGAAGCTAGGATTGCATGTGTAGCTCATAGAAATTGTCAAAAAGTGTTGCAGACTCCGACAAATAAACAGATGCTGTGAGTTCAGTAGAAAAAGCAGATTTGACTGAGTAGTTTTTGCCGTATGATCACAGTGATTATTTCCGTAAAGCTCGAGTTTGCAGAGAATCCAGCATTTAGCAGTGGGCTAGTTTTTGAGAGAACGTCCTTCCAGTTCACGAAGATGAAGCACAATGGCTAACTGTATGCGTGCGTAAATATCCATACTGGCCGGCAAATAGGGATAGCCCATTATTTTAAACCAACGTGGACACGATTGATTTTATTTTTTACATTTTAGAGTGGTATCATTGATTTGATATGACGTAGTGCCGTATTATAGATTAGTGTCCATTGCACTTAGGGAAGACTAAACACGCTCACATTCAGTCCCTATGTCTCAGCTCATACCTCTAATAGTTTCCAGGAGCTGTCACTAAAGCCGAGCCAAAGGAAATAGAGGCTGAAATGAAGTACTTAGTTTCCCCAGGCCCTTGGGCTAGCTATCTAGCTGGTTTGACTCACACCCACTGGAAACAGATCTTTGTAAAAAAAAAAAAAAAAAAGACCTTGTCTCTTATTCTGTCAGCCTGTTGGCCTTTATGTTGTCTTCTATTCAGTTCTTTTAATCCTCGCCTCAGTTTTTTTGGTCCATTTTTAACCAGCCCTTTTATGCTAGCCTTCATACTTACTGTTCACACTCACTCACCTCATCTCTCTCTGTCTTTTTTATTACCCCTTTTCTCCTCTGTTCTTCCCTTTCCATCGTCTCCTCTTCAGTTTCTGATTATGAAAGTGTTCCCCAGAAGTGCCTGCCATGATTTTTTTTTCTATGAAGCGTCGTTGTGGATGGAAATGTTTTTCCAGACACCGAGCGCACTTTGGTTCTGACTTACACAGATCGGAAGGAACACAAGTTTACATGCAGCGTGTTTGTAACTGTGCTTTTTGTTTTTTTGCATGACATTTGAATATCTCTGTGCAGTTGTGTGCGAGCATTTAGCCACCCCTGGACAGATTACTATATGTGCTTTGTTTGTGTCTGAAGTGAGAAAAAAATGTGATTCCAAACTGTCAACAAACAGACTTTAGAAATGACCCTTTCATGAAGTGTTCACATACTATTACTTTTAATTTCGCTTTATGTTTTTCAAAGTTTTTGAAAGTATTTGCTGATATTTATTGGAATCTCTTCTTGCCTCTAAGTGTTTCCTGTGCCGCTGGAAACAACCTCAAAGCATTTTCACCCTCATGTTTAACTGCTGCCAAGGGGTTCCTTTACTCTAAACCCTTCCCCTTTTTTTCTCTAAACATACCTTCTGTGGTTGTGGGCGCTGAGCTCAACTGTGACTTTAAACACACACAAAAAAAAACACTTCCAGACGAACACGTTTTATAATGAGGTTGTAGATAAGCTTTCCCTGTGATAACTCTTCTATACAAACCTATGCCTCAACACTACGCTGTGGAGGAACGCACCACCACTCCTGTGTCAGCTCAGCCTTTCTGTAGAACCTTTGCAATTATGTGGGGGTTTTGCTTTGAATGTCTGTACTGCAGGCATCCAGTTTTATCTGTTGATCTGAAGGTTGTTGGTTTTTTTTCTTCTTCTAGCTCTTGTCTTGACTGACACAGTTCCCCACACTTCTGTTTCTTTAGTCCGCGAAATAAAAAAGTGGGTTAGCATTTGAAGAAAGCCTCGATTGAATGTCTGGTTCCCGTAGATGTTGTGTTTAATTTAATGTAAAAAAAAAAAAATCAGCACAATATGATATTTCACCAGCAGTTTGTATCCAGCCGTCGTTGTGTGCAGCGTGTAATGCACACAGGTCTACATGTTATTAATAATGAAGAACTGAAGGACGCTAAAGGCATCTGAGCTAAAGCCTGCAGCTTTTCTCCTTCATGTCTCGCTCACTGATCTTTTTTTTCCTCTTCTCGTTGGACAGCTGATAGAAGCTAGCAACAGAAGAAAGAGAACCATTTGATGGAAGAAAAGAAAAAGAAAAAACAAGAAGAAAAGACCAAGAAGGACGTCGCGCAGAAAAAGGTGAATATGAAAACGCATATCCTCTCTCTCTCTCTCTGTCTGACGCACACTTTTTATTAACTTCTTTTTATTAAAGAAGTTGTGCACGTCTATTTTGAGTCGACAAGCACTTGCTTAAGTTTGCACTGCATGTGTGTGGGTTATAGAGTTTGTGCTTCGTTCTTTTCTTTTCTTTTTTTTATCCATTTGACTTTTAAAAATACAATAAATAATACAGGTAGTTTTTATATCATTATAGGCAGTATATTTCCAGTATCCAAACAACTGACTTCTTCTGTTCAATGCTGCAAATGACAGCTCAGACTTACTGTCTCCCTTTATTAAATGAGTTTAGTTAGCATGAGTCACTTTTATGGTTGAGTAAAACACAGCATTTCGTTCTAATGCTTTGCTTTAACCGTAAGTTTTGAATTCCTGCTAATTGTCGTCCCTTCTCTATTCTCGTCCCTCTGCAGGCTGCTGATCAGAAACCCAAAGGTGAGCGATCAGAGACTCTACACGTGCTCATCCGCCTCATTTTCTGCACTGCGTTCCAACAGCAGATATACATTAATCAGCTCTGATTAACACACACTAACCCAAAATGGCACATCATTCACGCGTTATACACACACAGTGTTTAGCATTCTTGTATACAGATGGACACACAGATTTTGCACATGCATGCACAGTTCAGCCGTTCGACTCTCTGTTTCTCACACACACACACACACACACACACATCAGAGCAAATACAGTGGAGTGTAATGCAGAGTGACGCTCAGTACACCCGCAGCACCAGGCAGTGAAGCGTGAGGGCACCCAGACAGCTCACTGAGTGTGGTTCTGGGTAAAGAGATGGGGAGGAGGGGGATGGGCTAAAGAAAGAAGGGAGAGGATGAGTGGAATAAAAGGAAGGGAATGGAGTTCAGCTGAAATGCAGAGGCGGAAAGAACAGTGTCCTCACATGCCCTTCGTGCGCTCTTAAGATGCTAAAATAGATTTTCCCAGTATATGGCGACGAAATTAGCTTTTAGTTTTATATTGGAATGAAAACCAAGTGCCCAGTGTTTCCAGTGCTTCTGCTGCATTTAGTGGTTCCAGTGGCAGGCTTGTGGTTCAGACTCATTTCATTTGTGAACTGTTGTAGCGAGAGGTGTATAACCGTTGGTCTGGTCACTGGATTTATATCCTTTTGGTTTCTGAATATGTTCAGAATCAAGAGTTATGTTTAAGATTGGTTGCAGGATCTCAGGGGTTAACATGCATAATATATTCAGCTCTGCTCTAATGTAACATATGCACACTGGTCTGTTTGTATGCATATTTTTTCTGCTTCAAAATAAGGAAAAGGTTGTGTCTCGACTGCGTAAATTACAAAGAATGAATAACGATGTGAGCGAGTGAGCGAGCTGGGTCCTAAGCATAAGCACAGCGCTGCATCTCCTCCATCACTGGCCGTTTCCTGTTCAGTCCGGCTTTTAGACCTGCATTTTTATGCTTCTTGGACGATGTTAATTATCAAGTGGATCCTCCTGCTTGGTTGTCACCTAGCAACAATGCGGTGCGATTCCTCAAGCTACACATGTAGATGCTGCAATTAATGTAAAATGCTTAAATACGTTTTTTTTTTTTCTTAATGCATGGTCAGGTTTGGGGGAAGTCGGCACAGAACTCGAGGGAGGCGTCTGCCTTTAAATCTTCCCAGTGTGTCTGTTAGTGCCTTCCCAGTGTGAGCAGCAGCTCGGCCATCTGGGTGTAACTGTGGGGCTTTAACAAAGGTCACTACAGCTCGCCTTGGACTCTGACCTGCCTATTTAATTACCCTGCCTGTGTTTCTCTGCACTGTCTCTGAGCTTGGCCTATTAACCAAGTTTTCAAAGCTTTTCCGCAAAAAAAAAAAACTGAAGGCTTGTGAATCGAATAAGATGTAATGCCGCTGTTGTTGCGCTTGAGTAATGAGATGGAAATACTTTTTCTGAGAGTGAAAATTTTCAGACTTTGCCAGGCTTAGAATTCAATACAAAAGGCTCTTGTCACAAATAGAAACAATGAACAGTAGGAGAGAACAAGCAGAATTCATAGCGCGCAGCAGCATCTTTTTTTAATACTATTATTTACACAGGGCAGATTTGCTGAGCTCTTTTCCAGTAATGCTAAATTCACACTCGCACAGGGTTTTTTTTGTGCCTTTTACAACCACAGTGTTATCTGTTGGCCACTATAGACCTGTACTTGAGTAGTTGAGGTCGAAATGCCTTGCGCAATAACACCATGATACGATGATGATAATAAGGCAGGCATTAGCGCTGCTCTTTGTCTATCCAAACATAGTTCTGTTATTTATAGAAGATTAGTATCGTGGACTAGGAGCTAGGAAAGATTTGTGGTTGGATGTGAGATGGTTGCAGTCGGCACAGCCACAGGAGTAAGTGGGCATCAGTGTGTGACACACATTCTTTGTATATCTCTTTATCTTTGCCTGAATTTATTTTGTATTTAAACACATATTCTAATTACAGCGCAGCCAAAATGTTAAAGCAGTCATGCATTTATGTCGGTTATGAAATACAGCTGTTGCCATTTTTAAACGTAACTCTCCTATTTTAGTAAACTGAATATAATTAGACAAGTCCTACACATGAGCAGACCCTTGTTATGTTCACATGTTGCAGCCTTTTTCACTGTATTGCTCATTTCGGGGGCTTTTCTGTTTTAAAATTTCGGCATTGTTCACAGTTTTCATATATTCGTTGCTCTATTTAAAGTCCAATGTGCCAAATCGTATAACTTACATCAGAGCTCTGGTACTTTCCTGCTCAACGCTGTATGCTGTGTTTATGTTGGCTGTATGACGCTGGCCTGAGCAGCCATTGAAATGCTGAGTGTCAAGAAGGAAATATTGAGAACTGTGCTCGGGAGGAGAGGCCCACGAACAGGGGCACAGCGAAGAAGGAAAGGGTGTGGAAAAGGAAGAAAGAGGAAGTGTAACAAGCTGTTTTGAGGCCGGATGAAAGTAAAAATGAAGGAAGGAAAGAAAGAAAGAAAGTAATGAAGCAGTGAGCACTTTGTACGAGTGCGAAAAATGACCGTCAAGAGTCAATGACGACACTAATATGGAAGAGGACTAATGGCATGGACATTTATTTTATGGTATGTTTAATGAGAGATGGAGAGGGAAAGGGACACGGAATGAGAAGCTGATTGTGTGTACGTAGAGGGTACTCATGCAGACAGAAAGATAAAGAAAGTAGGGGAGAGAGGGCCTGTTTGAAGACTAATCGTTCAGCGAGCCATCAGGACTTCTGTGAGTTTGCTCACAACCTCCCATCTGCAATATCTTTTAAAAGGAAGGTGGCATCGACTGGAATGAGATGGGTTTTCATGCGTGACACTAAATAATAGAGGTTTGTGTATATGCAGGAAGGGAGAAAATCAGTATGCGGTAGTGATTTGTGTCTTTCCATCCATATCAGTGCGTTCTGCCTTCCTTATACACTTTCAGAAATTCATAGTCACATACACATAGACACCACCTCCCCCCCCCATCCTCAGTCTTTTTCTGCTTTCCTCTCTGCAGGCCTCCTTGGTCCCAGGCATTTCAATTTGTTTGCGGTAATCGATCTCGGGCCGGCGCGTTCATATGTATGAAAATGAGATAAAGCTTCGGCGCGCTGGAATTAACTTCTCTGCCCCCTATTAGGCATGGAGCTTCACCGAACGCAGGGTTCCAGGAGGCAGTGTCCCATTGCCCCAGCCCACCTCCCCCCTACACATACATACGGGCTGGACCTCTAAAGCAGGGTCCCTCCCACTCTCCCCGCTCGTCCCCATTACCTCAGAGGGTTGCTGATTATTCACCTCCAGCACACACGCAGCTCCATCACAATCTCTGCCTCCGCTGCAATCACAATCAGTCAGTTTGACTGCTACGTATACCCACCAACCTTGACAAAAACCACGCACGTGCCAGCATGCACACACGGGAGTGTATAGGGAGTATATGTATCTGTCAAGCTGCAGATGTGTTGCTCCGAGATGCCCACAGTCATTAAAACACTCCTCCCTACAGCGACTTGGAGCTTGTCAGTGTATCCGCAAAGACAGACTAGCAATGCCCGCGTTGTGAAATTGAGAAAACAGCCAAGACAATAACGTTCTAGCCATAGTGGTTCCTACCATGCAGAAATATTTTTGAAGTTATGAGAAAATGTGTCCCAGGCAGGAAGTTAAACAAATGCAAATTAGAATGCACATGGGTACATGCAGACACAGAAACCCACAGCACTACCACAGCGTGTCTGTTGCATTCCCACAGCCCAATAATCACAAAATCTGCAATCTCCGTTTTCGCTGCTCGTGTACTTTTCGCCGCTGAAAGGTTCGAGAAGTAATATAATGTCTGTCACGACCTCGTCCCTCGCTCTCCTCCATACCCACACCGTCACTCTCGACTGTTTCACCCTCTATACGCTCGGCCCCGGCGAACGTATCTGAAGAGAAGCGTATTTACACGGTGTCACCGTGCTTATAAAGGCATTGTATTTTTCAAAGTGGCGAGAGACGCACATAAACACAAGTGTGTCCTATAATTCTGCATTGGATTAATTTGCAATTTCACATGCTATTAATTGCGTCAACACTTTTAAAAATGGAATTTCATGAATTGCAATCTAATTAGAGGCTAATTTACTTTAGCACTCGGGCTCTTTTTTTTTTTTTTTTTCTTCTGTTAACCACATTTCTAAACACTCAATGAATTAATAGTGAATAGCTTGTGAATTACGTCCTGTGGATTTATGACTGCCAAGCATAATTGTTTTTCCTCTACCCCCCGTGCGCTCACCCCACATGCATGTCAAGTGCTGGAGGAGCGTGAGGGATGGAGGGAAAGACCAGGGGCAGAGATAAAGGAAACAAGAGGGGCGCTCAAACTTAAACAATGCTTTCCTCTCTGTGGATTCATGTTGTATGATCACTCACAAGCTGCTGACAAGAGAGCCCATTCGGTGCCTCTCATCCCTCCCCCATCACTCACTCCTCCCCCGTCAGTGAGCTGCTTCATGTCAAATATCAGGCAGATTAATAGGATGTAGTGCAAGTGATATGAATGACAGTTCAGCCGGGGCTTTAAGGGCAAAGCATTTGTATGGATGTATTTCTGTGAGGTTGAGGTCTGTAGAGGGGCTCCTATTGGCCAAATACAGCGTGTACTGTGTTATACTACCGCTTGAATTTAACTAGTTGTTTATGGTGTAAGGCAAAGAAAGGACTTGTGCATGAAAACTTAGGACTTCAAATAAGTGGTCCTCACATTGCCTTTGGGTTCCCTGGTCTCTAATGACCGTAGGGCTCTGACCGTGGAAGACCATGCCCCTCGTTTTTGTGTCCGCTTTGAAAAGTTTAAGATGCCTCGACTCATGCTATGTAGTTATCAAGTTCAGTAGGTTTGTATCCTCAGGCAGTTGTTGCCCTCAGGCGCTGACCTCGGATATAGA